GATGCTGCTTGGCCTGCTGTGTTCATCCAGCTCTGCACCTTGTTGTCTCGCATTCTCCAGCATCTGCAGTTCCTACTATCTCCTGGTATGGTGGGTTTTTTTTACTTCTTTTAACCTCTCCATCCGCCCCCCACAAAACATACACTGAGACTCACACCAGTTTCACATTAATACCCCACTATCCATGGTGACTGCCACAAACAATTAAAATATTTCTGCTGAAGGAAGATGTAACTATGCTTTTTGAGGCCAGTTTAGGGTTCGTCAGTTAACTCCCTCACTTTACTAGTCTAACTAAAAAAGGTACCATATATCAAATAGAGAATTAAATTACGTTTGCCAATTTATTATTCTACTGTTAAGGATTTCTGCAATAATATAGCAGACCTTAGCTCAAACAATGTTGCAGTAAAGCTTCAAGACTGTATTGCAGGATAATGTCCACTGAATAATTAAGTTTGAAGCCTTTTGAAGTTTCATTAGCTTTTCGCAACCTTGCAAACAGAGAAAGCTGCAAGTGATGTAACACAACCAGATAGTGTCAGAAATCCTATCTGCTGAGAAAAATGCTAGTTAATATTTGCTCTGCACACAGTGCACAGGACTCATTTTTACTGTGTTGCTGCTGTCAGCACGAAATCAGCAGTAATGAACCATATATGGTCTGGGAGGGTAGATTGCTACATAAATTATGCCCAAGTGAACTTCAATTTATGAATCAGACATTTATTATTTTATAATGTGTGCTTGAACTGGGGAGAATACTGCCAGAATTTTTGCAAGATGATATCTTAGTGGTATTATTGCTAGATGATTACTTCAGAGACCCAAGTTATGTTCAGGAAGCCTAGGTTCAAATCTTACATGGTAGATGGTGGAATTTGAATCCAACAGAAATCTATAATTAAGAGTCATGAAACAATTGTTGTTTAAAAAAAACACACACACACATCTGGTTCATTAATGCTTTTTAGGGAAGGAAACTGCTGTCCTTACCTGGTCTGGTCAATATGTGACTTTAGATCCACAGATATGTCGGTGACTCTTAATTGTTTAACACTGCTGCCTCACAGCGCCAGGAACCTGGGTTTGATCCCACCCTCAGATGACTGTCTGTGTGGAGTTTGTACATTCTCCCTGTGTCTGTGTGGGTTTCTTCCAGGTGCTCCGGTTTCCTCCCACAGACCAAAGATGTGCAGGCTAGTTGGATTGGCCATGCTAAATTACCCCGTAGTGTTCAGTGATGTGGTAGATTAGTGGGTTATAGGGGGATGGGTCTGGGTGGGATGCTCTGAGGGTCAGTGTGTACTTGTTGGGCCGAAGGGCCTGTTTCCACACTGTAGTGATTCTATGATTCTATAAATGCTGGCTGACCAGCAATGCCCAAATCCCATGAATGAGTAAATTTATTGTCTGTCCCTCTTTTCCCTGGGAAATTAGTGCTGCTCGTTATCCTCCCTCCCACCTGTTATCTGCAATCCTGCTTTTGGTTGTGATACTGGTGAATTCCAGGACATTCACTGAATTACAATGACTGAATAGGGATACATGTCCAAATGAGAATAAATTGTGATTTGAAGAACTTAGATAACAGTATTTCCATCGCACTGCTTCTGTTGCATGTTCAGACTAGAAGTTGCAAGAAAACAAATGCTATCAAAGAAGATGGACAGAAACCTTAGATCTGCGTGGAAATCAGCTTGACACACTACTCATTTGAAGGGCTCATCTTCGTAAAGAAATTGTAAATACAGCTGATAACTTTTAAACAAATGAGTTTAAATTACTTATTTCAAACTTCCCATTTTGTTAATTGTAAATAATATTCAAGTTGAAGAGACAAGATATGAAACTAATCAATAAATGTTCTAAAACAGGTAAAAATTTTCTGTTAACTACTCAGTGATTGCTTCAAGAGTTCTTATGTCAGTAATTAGATGATACTTTCCTCAACTGTTGGGCAGGAAATTAGCAGGGGGAAATGGTTTGCCCCTTCTTCTGGAAGGAATGTCAGCATTGGGCTAATTGACTAGGAAGAAGCCTGTCCCGCAACTGTAACAATGCTGCAGGCTGGCTACATTGCCGAATTGTGGGATTTCTGTCCCTCACACAGGAGGGAATCTATCCTCAGAGCTTCCATCCTATCTGATTGCCTGGCAACTCCATCATTCTCAGCAGTACGAGAGCTCAGTAGCCTTCAGGGCCTAAAGAGGATCATGACTGCCCCAAGAATGTAACTCAGTGTTTCTTCATTTGTTCATGGGATGCGGATGCCGCCGACCGGGCCAGCATCCCTAATTTTCCAGAGGACAGTTAAGAGTCAACCCAATTGCTTTAGGTCCAGTCACATGTAGGCAAGACCAGGAAAGGATGGTAGATTTTCTTCTGAAAAGAACATTAGAAAACGAAATTGTTTTTCTTTGCAAAAATTGACAGTTGCCATTAGGCTAGCTTTTAATTCCAAACTTTTTTAAAAAATTGAATTCAGATTTCACCATCTGCCATGGTGGGATTCAAACCTATCTTCACACAGAGAGTGGTGGGCGTGTGGAATGCATTGCCGGCAGTGGTAGTGGAGTCAGATACTTTAGAGACTTTTAAGCGACTCTTGGATAGGCACATGGAGGATAGTAAAATGTAGGGTTTGCAGGGTAGATTGATCTTAGTAGGATAATAGGTCGGCACAACATCGTGGGCTGAAGGGCCTGTTCTGTGCTGTACTGTTCTATGTTCAAAAGTAAGTCTGTCAAATTGCTGTAGTGCCTCCTGTAGGTTATTCACACTACAGCAACAGGTGATGGAGATGCTGAATATTTAATACAGTATCAGGGATACTGATAAAGTGACCTGCTCTCTTATGGCTGGTGTTGACTTTCTTGAGTGGTGCTATTATTACACACATTAAAATTAAGTAATGGAGGGATTTCTGATTAGAATCATAGAATCCCTGCAGTATGAGGATTGTTGGTTTGTTGCCTTGTGAGAAGAGATTGGGTAGGCAGGCACTGTCCTCACTGGAATTTAGAAGAATGATAAGGGATCTAATAGGAACATATAAAATTATGAAGGGAATAGATAGGATAGAAGCAGAGAGGTTGTTTCCACTGGTGGGTGAAACTTGAACTCGGGGGCAGAGCCTCAGAATAAAGGGAAGCAGATTTAGGACTGAGTTGAGAAGGAACTTGTTCACCCACAGGGTTGTGAATCTGTAGAATTCCCTGCTCAGAGAAGCAGCTGAGGCTACCTCAAGGCAAAGATAGACAGATTTTTGAACAGTAAAGGAATTAAGGATTATAGTGAGCGGGTGGGTAAGTGGAACTGAATCCACGAAAAGATCAGCCATGATTCTATTGAACGGCTGAGCAGGCTTGATGGGCCAGATAGCCTACTCTTGCTTCTTATGGAAGCAGGCAATTCAGCCCATCAAGTCCATACCAACCCTCTGGGGGGCATCCCACTCAGACCCATCCTCCTATCCTAACTCTGTAACCCTGCATTTCCCATGGTTATCCACCTAGCCTGCACATCTTTGAACTGTGGGAGGAAACCCACACAGACACAGGAAGAATGTACAAACTCCGCACAAATCACCTGAGGTTGGAATTTAACCCATGTACTGGATGCTATGAAGTAGCAGAACTAACCACTGAATCACTGTGCCGCCCTAACAATGATTTTATGGTTGTCATTGTGATTCTCCACAGATGCGGCTTGATCCACTTCACATTCCTACCGTTGTGTTTTTATTTGATTTCCAACATCTTCAGTATTTTACTTCTGAAAATGTTAATAGTATTAACCAGTTTTTAAAAAGATCTCATTCATGAGACATTGACTTTGTTGGTAAGGCTAGCATTTGTTGCCCATCCTTAATTGCCCTTAAGAAAGTGGTGTTGAGCGACCTTCTTGGGGTGTTGCACTCCATGCAGGAGTGGCAGTACACCCTCAATGCTGTTGGGACAAAATTCCAAGATTTTGAACCATTTTAATGAAGGAACAGCGAATTAGTTCCAGGTCAGGCAGATGGTATTTGTGACTTGGAAATAAACTTGCAGGTGGTGTGTTTCTGCAGCGGGTGGAGGTGGAATTCCATCACACTCTTGACTCGTGTCTTGTAGATGTTTGGACAGGCTGTGGAAGTGAGTCACAGAGATTGAAATGAAGGGAATTTTTAACCAGCTCGGTTGGTGTCGGTCTGAAGGGGGTACAAATAACTGAAGCAGGGGTTGTGGTCAGATGCAGACACTGCGCAGTCTGCAGCTCTCCCTCCCCGCTCCGCCCCCCCCCCCCCCCGGTTACGGTGCAGGCAGCGCTCGGGACAATAGGGGCACTGTTTGCGGCGGATGGACACACTGCCGGCACCGCGGCAGCTGTCGAACTGAGTGGGGCGGCAGTGAGGAGTCGAGCGGCTCCCGCGGGGGGGGGACGGAGCAGGTAAGAGCAGAGCGGGGTAGGGTAAGGTACGGGTGGGGTGCTCGGCCTGGTGCCGGGGAGAGCGGGCAATCTAGGTGCAGGCGTAGAGCTCGGCCTGGCCTGCCCCTGCCCCCACCCCCACCACCCACCACCCACCGTCCGGGGGTGGGGGGTATGAGGCGTCGGCCTAGATTAGACGGGGAGAGGGAGAGCAGCCCCGCTCTCGGATCGCCGGTTGTCATCTGGATGCGGGGAGATTTCCCAAGCGGGCCCCGGAGTAAACATTTCCCTGGCTCTGGGGGTGGGGGGCCTGTCCGTTCAGCTCAGGGTTTGTGATTTGACACCCTCTCCCTCCTCCCGGGAGTTTCTGGGTTCCTGTCATTTACCAGTTGACGGGGGGTATAAAGGCTGCCGGGTCGGCGGCTTGTTGTCTGTTTTGGTGCGTAACTGCTTTGTGGGTGAGTGAGGTCGGTGGCGGGTGCAGTAATGGCTTTGTTTCAGCTCCAGTGACTGCATCGAGTATTGTTCAAAGTCGTTTTGAGTTTCCCCACCATCCTATTACTTGACAGGGCTTGTTTTTGGTGGAGTGGGTGTTGGTCCAGACAGTTAATGCTCATAGAGTTTACAAGTAGCTTCCTACAAAATGTTTCGCGAAGATCTAAATAAGATCGATAGAAGGAACAGTTGTTTTTGACATAGTATTTTAAGACGTGGCATAATTAAATCTGCCTATACTTGTATATGATTGAACTTCATTGGATAAAAACCAGGGGTGTTTATGTTGGATAATTTTCATTAAGGAGCGATCCTTTGTAGAGCATCGTGTCCTTGTACGCAGAAGGAGATGAGTTCGACGTGATTTGTTAATAAAAGCATAGGGTATGTGAACCTAGTCCCCTTAATTATGACTTATTGTTTAGTTAGTCATAATGTGAAATTTTCACATGGATATCCACCTTTTAAAGGTCTGGTAGGATTTTTTTGTCTTTGTATAATAATGTGAGGAATTACAACAAGGAACATCATTGAGAGGTCTGTTATAGCTGTTGGATTCTGTGAATACAGAATTCTCAGGTAGCTTTAACTCTCCTGAACACCAAGGAAATTTAGTCTCAAACTGTAACTGGCTGTTATTGTTTTTGAATAATTGCACTGAGGGTGACCTAGGGTTTTAATCTTGCTTTTGACATGGATGCAGTTATATTTGGGAATAGGACAAAGGTTCTTTTTCAAATGATGTTTCTTACCTTCTCTTTCGCTTGATACTTGGCCTCTTTTTGACAGCACCTCCAGTAACATGACTGATCTGCAGTATTCCATATAGGAGATTGTATGCATAAATTTAAATGTTGATAAGATAATCATAATCATAAACATGACATCAACTTTATTAATAATTGATCTTTTAAAAATATTTCTCCTCAATTGCCTATTTACGAAGAAGCTGTCATGATGCACTTCATTGCCTCGGGTAGAAAGATGACAGACAGAAAACCATTTGTGATTTCAGTCACCTAAGTTGATGGGGTGATTTGTTTCATCTATCGTCAGTTACGGGCTTTTGTGGAATGACTTGGCAGGGTCAGTCTTACTCTAAGTAGGCATGGGCTTGAAACATAAAATCTATTCTAAATTTGGCACCAAATTGGCCAGTGGATATTTGTGATTGACATGTTAGGATATTTTTGAAGCTTGCATTTGAAAGTACTTGTATGTATATCTGACTGTATTCTACACGACCAGAGAGTGCATAATGCTGAGATTGGATGCCATTTTCAGCACTAATAATCCTGTCTTGAGTAATAAAGAAACGTATTCCAAAAAAAGTGAATTAATTTTGCATTTCTGATTTATTGAAAAATAACTCCTTGATTGTGAAAAATCACAATATATTACAAAAAGTGAATCGAGTTAACTTTAGAAAAACCACAAAAATGCAAACATTTTGAAAGCCCGTAATGATGTCATTGGGAAGGCAGTATGTCGACAAGAAATGGTTGGGGCCCAAGGATAGACCCTCTGGGGACATGAGAATAGGAAGAGTGGTCACAGCTAATGATTAGTTACAATTAGATAAGAATGGAACCACATAAGAGAGGTTTTGGAGGAGGGTGGTGTGATCAGATATGTCAAAAGCTGCAGACAGGGAAACTTTGCCTCCTCATCCCTCATCCCTCTTGACCTTTAATCACGGTCACAGGATGTCAATTGTGACTTTGTTTCAGTACCATGATAAGGATAGAAACCTGGTTGCAATGAAGATGGAAAACCACTTTGGAGGTACCAGCATGTTCAAGGACTTTGGAGAGGGTATGTTAATCTTAGAAGAATGATGGGATCAAAGAATAGATTTGAGTAAAATTGAGATTATGGTAGATTTAAAGGAACAAGGGTGCACACATGAAGTGAGAGAACCATTTACAATATTGACTAACATAAGTATCAGAAGGGGAATTGTGTAATCAGTCTTTTATGGGATTAGAATTGAAGGGCCAGAAGTTGGTTCAACATGGAAAAGACGGTCACAGAGAGGACATGATGGCAAATGGAGAGATTAGAGAGAGATTAAAAGTTAGAGTTAAGGTGGGGGGAGCATTAATGTACTAGTAGAAGGGAGGATTCAGAGGTGATTGTCTCTGTCTTTATGGCAAAGTTACTGAGCTCCTTACACTCATTGATGGAGTGAGGATGTAGGAGACAGGGCAGAAGGACTTAAGATAACCTTTTTGTGTCAGGAAAAGAAGTCAGGATCATCTTTGCATTACAATTTTAACAGATGCAAGCAAGACCTGATGATGGTGTTTCAAGTAGTCCAGCCATATTTGGCAATGGATGGCTGACACATTCTGCATCCCTTATTTAAGTGATCCTAGATGTGGGCCATAATGGGTCAACAGTCAAGGTCAGAGTTATGGTTTTGTTAGGGGCTAGGACATCAAAGCGTGCATGTGAGGAGACTGTTGAGTAATATTTGTATAGTTACTTTTATAGAGGCATTCAAATATAAATATGTAAAAACAAAATGTTTTCTGCTAATGGAATACGACTGTAAGGTACAAAAATTTAAAAATAGAACTGAAGTATGCAGAATCAAACTTCTGTTAGGATCACAACCCTATTTAATTTTTGTGTAGTTTGTGTGTTTTTAAATTATCCTTTAGCTGGGAATATGGATTGGAATGAAGTACTGATATCTCTATCATGGTTACTATGTAACTGAACAGCAAGTTCATAAGATGAAGTTACATGGATGCCCTTGCACACATTTGATCTCATCCTTACTAACATTCCACTGTATCTTCAAAGATAACTAGCCTCATTGAATCAATATTAAAGCAAAATGCTGTGGATTTAGCAAATCTGAATTAAAACAGTAACTTTTGGAAATAAGTGTTAGGCAGCACCTGTGGAGAGAGAATCTGAGTTAACTTTGATGTTAATGATTAAAGTATTGTCAGGGTTGTGAGAAATCAAACAATATTTAAGCAAGTATGGAAGAGAAAACAGCAGGGAAGATTCTTGAAAGCTGATGTGATTAACTGACAAGGTGCATGGAAAAATGAGAATAGGATAACAGAGTTGCAAATGGCATCAATCCCCTTCCAGTGGGAAGAATTTTACTCAATCTACTTGGTTCAGATCTCTCATGATTTTTAAATACCTGTATCAAACCTTCCCTCACCCCTCTTTTCTCCAGAGAAAGCAGTCCCAATCTATGTAACTGAATCTCATCTCTGGAACCATTTTCTTGAATGGTATAAGTGAAACACTTCAGTGTTACCTTCTCATTGCTCACAACTTTACCACTTCAGAGCAACCAGTCATTTGGAAGACAGTGTTAAAAAAACTTGTGAATAAGCATCATGTATATCGAGGTTTTGTAGATACCTATTGGAGTTTTAGTAGTTGCTTAAAAAAGCAATTTTTTAATTAATGAAAACCATACCTAATGAAATTGTCTCAATGTCAGCAGTGTGGTAAGAAGCAAGTTTGGAAAAGAAATGTGTCTCATTAGATTAGCACACTATTTTTGTGCATTTTTGGCCAGAGTGATGAAAACAAGTCTTCCCTTTGGCAGCTGTAAGCAAATTAAGTTTGGGTTTCAATCATTATTATTGGACATGAATTGGGAGCATAAAAATATCAAAATGCACAATTTATTGCAGGGGTTATGCAGATAACGCAGAGTCATAGTAGAGTACAGCATGGAAATAGACCCTTCAGTCCAACTTGTCCATGCTGACCAAATATCCTGAATTAATCTAGTCCCATTTGACAGCAATTGGCCTATATCCTTCTAAACTCTTCCTATTCATATACCCATCCAGATGCCTTTTAAATTTTGTAATCGTACCAGCCTCCACCATTTCCCCCGGCAGCTCATTCCATAATGCACCACCCTCTGTGTGAATAAGTTGCCCCTTAGGTCCCTTTTAAATCTTTCCCCTCTCACCTTAAAGATATGCCCTCTAGTTTTGGACTCTACTACCCTGGGAAAAAGACCTTGGCTATTCAACCTATCTGTGCCCCTCATGATTTTATAAACTTCTCTAAGTTCACCTCTCAGCCTCTGCTCCAGGGAAAATAGTCTCAACCTGTTCAGGCTCTCCCTATAGCTCAAACAGTCCAACCCTGGCAACGTCCTTGTAAATCTTTTCTAAACCCTTTCAAGTTTCACAACATCCTAGAGCAGGGAGACCAGAACTGAACACAGCATTCCAGAAGTGGCCTAACCAGGACCCTGTGTTGGAATGTAAAAGACACATTGGTGACATGTAAAATGTTTTGTTTTCTCTGTAGTTAAGCTATATTAGTGTGGAAGTTTAGATAAAGCTTTACTTTGCATCTGCAAAATGATGTACCTGTTCTTGATGTTCATTACTGGTAGATTTTGTTTGATGGAATATTGCTACATTCCCTAGCACTCCGAGTGGAGGCTGGGTGTCATGGATGTCGGATGTGAGAAGTTATGAGGAAGAGAGCTTGGGCAGGAATGATGTGAGGTGTAGGGGTTGAGGAGG